AATTTTGGGGTCATTTTGGGGGTCCTAAATCCAAATTTTGGGGTCATTTTCAGGGGTCCCAATCCCAAATTTTGGGGTCATTTTGGGGGGTCTCAGTCCCAAATTTGGGGTAATTTTGGGGGGTCTCAGTCCCAAATTTGGGGTCACTTTGGGGGGTCCTGGGGGTCTTTGGGGGGCTCTGGGACCACCCCAAAATTTTGGGGTTTTTTCGGGGGGTCTGGGACCATCTCGGGGGTCCCTCCATGGATTTGGGGGTCCCTGGGGGTCTCCTGAGGGGTCTGGGGGTCCAAATTCTGGGCTGGGGTCTCCTCTGGGGCTGAAGACCCCAGACCCACAATTGGGGTCTCCTTGGGGGGCTCCATTGGGGTCTCTTCACACCCTGAAGACCCCAGACCCACAATTGGGGTCTCCTTGGGGGTCTCCATTGGGGTCTCACCACATCCTGAAGACCCCAGACCCAAAACCTTGGGGGTCTCTGGGACCCCAACCACGTTCTCCCCATGGACCGAAGACCCCAGACCCACAACCTTGGGGGTCTCTGGGATCTCCACCAGGTTCTCCCCATGGGGTGAAGACCCCAGACCCACAATTGGGGTCTCCTCGGGGGTCTCCCCATGCACCGATCCCACCACCACAACCTCCCCAGAAGCCCCCAGACCCACGACCACCTTCTCCCTTGTGACCTGGGGGACCGGAGACCCCAGACCCACAACCACAACCTCCTCCTTTGGAACATGTGGGACCCCAGCCAGGTTCTCCCCATGGTTTGAAGACCCCAGACCCACAACCACCACCTCCCCAGACCCCCCTGAGGAGCCCGATCCCACCACCAGAACCTCGCGGGAAGACCCCAGACCCACCATTACCTTCTCGTCATGGACCTCTGGGACCCCCACCACGTTCTCCTCATGGACTGAAGACCCCAGACCCACCACAACCTCCTCCTTTGGAACATGTGGGACCCCAACCAGGTTCTCCCCATGGCCTGAAGACCCCAACCCAACCCCAGCCATGTTCTCCCCGTGGACTGAAGACCCCATCCCCACCATGACCTTCACAACGTCCTGTGAAGGCTGTGGGACCCCAGCCAGGTTCTCCCCACATCCTGAAGACCCCAGACCCACAACCATGTTCTCCTTGGTGACCTGTGGGACCCCAACCACGTTCTCCCCATAGTTTGAGGACCCCAGACCCACAACCACCACCTCCTCCTTTGGAACCTGTGGGACCCCTACCATGTTTTCCCCACATCCTGAAGACCCCGTCCCCACCACAACCATGTTCTCCTTGGTGACCTGTGGGACCCCAACCAGGTTCTCCCCATGGCCTGAAGCCCCCATCCCCACCATGACCTTCACAATGTCCTGTGAAGGCTGTGGGACCCCTACCATGTTCTCCCCATGGACCGGAGACCCCAGACCCACCACAACCTCCTCCTTTGGAACCTGTGGGACCCCAGCCAGGTTCTCCCCATGGCCTGAAGACCCCAGACCCACAACCACAACCTCCTTAGAACTCCCCATCCCCACCACCACCTCCTCCTTTGGAACCTGTGGGACCCCTACCACATTCTCCCCATGGCCTGAAGCCCCCATCCCCACCATGACCTTCACAATGTCCTGTGAAGGCTGTGGGACCCCTACCACGTTGCCCCCATGGCCTGAAGCCCCCAACCCAACCCCAGCCAGGTTCTCCCCATGGCCTGAAGACCCCAGACCCACAACCACAACCTCCTCCTTTGGAACATGTGGGACCCCAACCACATTCTCCCCATGGTTTGAAGACCCCAACCCAACCCCTACCACATTCTCCCCATGGCCTGAAGACCCCAGACCCACAACCACCACCTCCTCCTTTGGAACCTGTGGGACCCCAGCCAGGTTCTCCCCATGGTTTGAAGCCCCCATCCCCATCTCAACCAGGTTCTCCCCATGGCCTGAAGACCCCATCCCCACCACAACCTCCTCCTTTGGAACATGTGGGACCCCAACCATGTTCTCCCCATGGACCGGAGACCCCAGACCCACCATGACCTTCACAACGTCCTGTGAAGGTTGTGGGACCCCTACCACATTCTCCCCATGGT